TAATCCTTGTAGGTACATCATGAATAACAAGGTTGACAGAGGACACCCCTGCCTAAGCCCCCGTTTTACCTCTGCAGGCTTGGATACCTGTTTTTCCCACTTTATAACTACCTTATTACCTTTATAGATATCCTTTAATTAGTGACTCCATCTTCCACACCTAGTGTGTCCAGTATTCCACACAAGTCCTCTTGAACCACGCTATCGTATGCTTCCTTGATATCCAAAAATGCTAGCCACAGGGGACTGTGTTCCTTTTCTGTTATTTCGATGCACCGCGTCAGTGAGAACAGATTATCTTCCAACCTCCTGTGTTTCCGAAACCCATTCTGCAGTTCCCCCAGCACCCCCTCATCCTCTATCCATGCCTGCAGTCTTTCCTTTATAATCTGCATCGCCAATCTGTCGACCACTGATGTCACTGTTGTAGGACTGTAGTTGTTTATGTCAGCTTTGTCCCCCTTTTCTTTATAGATTATGCTCATCCTGCTAAGTTCCCATCCGTCGGGGACTTCACCATCGATTATTATTTTGCTCACTGGCTCTCTCAAAGCCTGCTTAGACTTCGGACCTAATGTCTTTATCAGCATGATTAGAATGCCATCTGGGCCTGTTGATGTACTACTAGGAACCCTTTTCTCAGCCCTTTCCAACTCTCGTTGTGAAAATGGAGCCATTGCGCCACTTGATTCATCCTTGTCTATTGTGGTGCATAAAGCATTTCTGTGTTGAAATTTTTCTGTAGCCCTTGTTCTTATATATTCAATAGCTTTGTCCTCTTCTTGCCTAGCACCTTGGGCTGTAGTTATAAACATCTGCTCAAGGCTTGTCTCATTTCTTAGGGAGTTTAGATGGTTCCAAAATTTCGCAGCTGCCTTTCTATCTTTTTTATGTACTTCTGCCAGCCACTGAGCTCCTTTTCTTCTAATCTTTTCATTGATCAGAAGGGATGCATCCCTTCTACAGCTTAGAAAGATTTCCCATTTTCTTTCAACATCATCTGTCGGTTCAACCCGCTGCTTAGCATGTCTGTGTTCCCTAGAGGCTTCCTGGCATTTTGCTATGGCTCTCTTAACTTCCTCATCCCACCAACTTTTGGGTTTGTGTCTTCTTTTCCGGGGTGTCTTGTCACGTGCTTTAGCAAGCTCTAGCTCAAACAGTCCAATTAGATTCGTGTATGTCCACACTGTTTTATTATCCTCAGTGATTACTTTCTCAATTTGTTTTAGTGGCTATTTCAATTTGCCTTTCTAAATACAAATTTTCCTGTAGTTGCTCATCTTGTCTCCTTCCCACTTTCACTGCTCTTCCAAGACTCAGCTTCATACGTTTGTGATCACTACCCAGACTTCTGGAGCCTATGTCGATTCCCCTGAGCTATGTCGATTCCCCTGATCTATGTCGATTCCCCTGAGCTTACATACATCGTATGTGACATCAGTGCGTAATCTATCGTCGACTGCAGCCTTCCTACCTCCCATGTTACTTGCCCTTCACACTTCTCGGTACTGTTGCAAATAATTAAATCATGTCTTTCGCACATATCCATGATCATTTTGCCGGTTGGGTCGGTATACCCATCTAGACGCCTTGGGTGGCGGTGCGCCATCGAGTGAGGATTGTTGAACCGGAGAGGTGTACACTGGAAACAATGGCGTACACGTCGGCGGCTGCCGGACAGGTCACAAGCTTAAGAAGCAGGGTCCTAAAATTATGAATTGATGTGAGAGTAATATGTTCGTTTAACCTTGAGGCACAGCTCTGCAGCAGCGCGGTTTTTGTAAATACTTTCACGGTATAGCACTACTGTACTGCAGTGAAACCACCTTCACAGTGACTACATGCAGTTAAATGTACAACTGTTCATTCATTCTGAATATTTCCGAATTTCAAACAATTTAAATCCATTTTGAAGCGAATTCGAATACTATAAGATACATTTGTATATTCTAAAGTGCTTGATTATTCGTACCTGCCTCATTAGTTATCAGGTTTATAGGCAACATGATAGAGTTTATTTTGAATAGTTGTGCAAAGACCAGTCGTTGCACTTAGCTTTGATGTCATATGCCATTCAATAAGAACTTTACATGTGCGCTTGTCTGTGTCCATTCGTCCTTCATTTTCGTTTGTGCATACGATTACTGCCCAATCTATGTCACATACTTATTGCATCACTGTTGGTGCCAGTGTTAGTAGAGATTCAGTGATGTATGAACTCAACCAACAGGTGTTTTCTCTTTCCTGTTTTTTAGCTTCATGTCTCATGACTTCTGCTGAAGCATCGCTCTGCACAGTTATGTCTGAAAAACCTCTTGTATGCCATGTGAGAAATTTTAGAACTCGTGATACGATTGCAAAGGCACATTTAGAAGATTTCAAGAAGTGCTTCGATTAAGTTTTTGTGAATAGTGAATTTCAGGTTCAAAAAATTTGAAACAAATAGTGATTTTGGTTGAATGGTGTTGAATCGAATTCGAACAGTATATATGACATATAAAGAAAAATGGGCATATTTATCATAGCCTAAGTAACCTGCACAATATTTTTTTTATTTGAAATAGGGCTTCTATGCTAATGGCATTTCTTTTTTCATTCAAAGGAAACAACTTAGAGTAGTAGCAGAATTTGACTTTCAGCAGGATGCGAGTCATAACCCTTGAAATATGTAACATTTTAACATTTATCGTACTTAGAGCATATAAGCCGTCTTAACAAGCTTTTAAGTGTACAAAATGAATTGATTTGAGGGGAATATTTTCATTTACAAAGAGGGTTCAGCTTAAATTGAGGACAACGCAGTGAGCAATGGAAAGTAAAATGATAGGTGTAACCTTAAGAGACAAGAAGAGAGCAGAGTGGATTAGGGAATAAACCGGAGTTAAGGATATCATAGTTGAAATCAAGAAGAGGAAATGGACATGGGCCGGGCATGTAGCACATAGACAGGATAACCGCTGGTCATTAAGGGTAAATAACTGGATTCCTAGAAAAGGCAAGCAGGTTAGGGGGAGGCAGAAGGTTAGGTGAGCAGATGAGATTAAGAAGTTTGCAGGTGTAAATTGGCAGCAGCAAGCACAGGACCGAGTTTACTGGCGGAACATGGGAGAGGCCTTTGTCCTGCAGTGGATGTAGTCCGGCTGATGATGATGATTATCATTATTTTATTTTCATTTAAAGGGTTTATCCGACTTTCAAATAGGCTTGGAATGGATTCACTAAAGAAGCTTATTGCCTCATCAATTCAACGCCACAAGAATTTTTAGAATCCGTCAAGTACATGCGGAGTTTCAAAGATTTCTTTCACGCTGCTTCTTGTCCCTACGAAAGCTCTGGAAGCTAAGCAGGGAGAAATGCACGGGGAAAGAAAATACCATATTTACTCGCGTAATGAATGCACTTTTGTTTTCTTGAAATATCAGAGCAAAGTTGGGGGGTGCGTTTATTATGCAGGGTAAATTTTATAAAAACTTTTTCAGAAGGAGCGAAAAATGCGGTAATGCAAAAAAAAAAGTTGGGTTGCTTAGCTTTTGGCAATTGACATATGCGTACACTGTTTGGAAACAGCTTCTTTGTTGCACTTTACTCATCTTCGCTGGTTCATGGCGCAATCTTCTGTAAGCTGTCCCCAGGCCGTCCGCGCATGCCATAAAAGCGTTTTGCGGATATCATTTCTCGCAATCGTTTAACCGCAACATCTCCTGTGATCTCAAGGGGCGCTTGAAAGTGCGCGCTACCATGCTACGGCACTCTTTGCCAACTTCACGGCAACCTCGCATGACAACTGTGACAGCGGCGTTAACATTGAAGCAAGCAACCATCATTGCAGCAAGCTACCCCCAAGCATCAAAACAAATCGTCGATAACAAGATTAACGACAAAATACGGCCGCCTTGGTTCTACATGAGAAGGTCCTCTACGCGCGGATGACAAGCGATGCGAGAATGGGAGGTTCTATTAAGCTGCGGAAATCATCACGATCTTTTCTGGATGCCAAGCTTTTTTTTTTTTCTGGTTTTCCAGAAATCTGCGACGCAATAGTGGCGAATGACCCTTCGCAACAGCAAATTCTGCCCTCGTCTCTCAAAAATCGTGTGCGCAAGGTTGGGCTTTTTCATATTCGCAGGAAGCGATCATCGGTTTGGCGCGGGCAGCTTCGTGACCTTCACTCGCTGCGTGCTTATCATCTGCAATGTCTACACTCGCACTGTTCTTGAACCTCGCTGTGGCACACAGATAAGGTGTGGGACGTTTCGCGCACAGGTTAAAAGAAAAACAATACAGGACAGTACGCGGCAACGCGCGAAGGTGGGGGGAGCCACGGGGGTTCGGCGAAACGATAAAGAGCGGAAGAAATTCAATGTGTGAGAAGGCGCCAAGTGTCGGTTACCGGGACTGCAGCGGATGAATGTAGGGGGTGCATTTATTACGCGGGGAAAAAAGAAAATACCCAATTTTGATGACTGAAGTTGGGGGTACATTAATTATGTGAGTGCATTCGTTACCAGAGTAAATACGGTAGGTACATAATGCGTGCTTTCTAAGCCTGTGGAGTCATTTGCCGAGAGAAGAGAGCAATTTTCGGCTGACTTTGAGAATTTATTGTGAATCGCAAACCACGTGCTGCGCTATAATATTTAGCTTCCGCGTCCTCTGTAGTCTTAACTACAGATCGGCAGAGTTTTCTGATTATGCTCAAGAAGTGTTGCAGGCCCCCTTTAAACTTGTAGGGGGGCAGAGCGGATTTCTCCTTAATAAGTGTTTTCATGGTTCAGCACCCCTACACTGCAGTGAAACCTTCTTCACAGGTGGTACATTCAGATAATTATGCATCTATTCGTTTCTTGCAAATACTTTGAAATTTTCAATAATTTAAATTTGAATCAAATATTCGAATTTGAATACCCTACTATTTGTTCGAGTATTTGAAGCATTCAAATATTCGCTCAAGTCTAGTTTTGACACGTATGTGTGTAACGCAATTGTCATCTCTTGTACAGAGACGACATGGCAGTCGGTGACTATGCCGGTGCCTGCGCGCAACGCCTCGAGCGCGGTGCCCAGTGCGGACCGAAACGGGGCCTGCGGCGGCCGACGGCCGAGGAGGTGGCCCAGTCGAGGGCGCATCTCTTTCGGCCATCCATGTTTGGCAGCCGGCTGGAGGAAGTGATGGCGCTGCAGTGCGAACGTTTCCCCGACCGATGTTTGCCCTGGGTGCAGACGACGCTGTCAGAAGCAGTGCTGCGGCTCCACGGCGCCCAGACGGAGGGCATCTTTCGCGTGCCGGGCGACATCGACGAGGTGCGTGCCTCCGCCTTCAAGTAACTTGATGGTCATGTTGTTGATCATCGCATCCACACTGAATATCATTTTCCATTCCTAATACAGCCAAACTCCATTCATTATAAAAGACCTGCTCAGAGGAGCAATTTTTGCCTTTTATGTGAGGTGCCTCTCATAAGTGGTGTACCATGTATGCGTTTCCTTATCAAACCTTATTTCAATGTAGACTCACTGGTAGCTCCTATGCGTATTTGTCTATTATATCAGTATCCCTTATAAAGGCTCTAGACCTAATATATGGGCAAGCATAGACAAGCCTGTCAAGTGGCAAACAAGGTTTATTGTTTTTCGAAAGTAAACATTGCAGTAGCGATTCTTCAGTGCTAGCCAAGCGATTTCGGCTTATAGAGTGCTGAACAAATGTTCTTCGCGAAGAGTTCAGTACTGCAATGCACTCAGCTGTGCTTGACGTGATTACAGGTAGCAGTGTCTGTTCCACGGTTATCTCATCTTCTTTATCATGCGCATTGCTAGAAAAGTCTTGTTGCACCTCACGAGTCGTGCTTTCTTCCCTAACTTCGCAACATCAATTATGTCAGCTGCATTCATGGTCTTACCCTGAGTGGCATCAGTGTCACTCAACTGTAATTCAGCAATCCTCTAGCACGAATTCTTAGTTCAGTCATCAGTTCCAAGCCTCAGTCTTACTGCAAAAAAAAAAAAAAAAAATCTTTTAATACATGCGGTAAGCATCCTCCAAGCCACCACTTGCTCTACCATACCACCACATTCACTCAAAATTTTTGCAGTACAGTGTAACCTCGTTACAACAGACCTCCATAGTGAAGAGGATTTTGGTCTGTTGTAAAAGGAGTGTGTAAAATCAAAGTACTGTTACAACAGACTTCTACGTAAACACTGAATGGGTCTGTTATAACAAGAGAGAATTGCAAGTCATAAACAAATTTATTCTCAATGGGGACATAAAAATGTAATTTTTTTTTGAAGATCACATTTTTGGTTTCTTTAACCCTTTATCCGATTCCAAAATATCTTGCCTATAAACTACGTAGAAGTGCTGTAAGCAATTTTTGCACCTGCTGAGGTGGCGAGTTTCTAGCTTCTTGCAACATTATTTCTGGCACAAAACCAATTTATAACATCCCTGTGAGATGAATGTGAGCGCAAACTGATGCTAAAATTGCGCTTTTTTCGCGCCGAACTGTTGCCGTTACATACGAGCTATCGTGTTCATCTTGGTCTCGTTTGGAAGGGTCGTTTTTCACCTTCAATTTCCCGCCACCACTGGCTCGCCTTGCTCATTAGTTTTTTAGCAAAAACGTGTCATCGAGAAGCACTAGCGCACAACTCAATTGGCTGCTTGGGGCACGTAACAAAACCTAGGCATCTGATTGGCCAAGGGGCGCTTTCGGCGTCTGCTTCACCATCGGAACGCGCACGGATATGCGCTATTTTGTCATAGTGCTACTGGCTGCCTGCGGCAGTAAAGAAGTTCCGCGCTATAGTAAATTCTGAAGCGGGTGTGGGGGTCGTTCGTTCGTTGTGAACTTCAGAAAGAGCCCCGCTATGGCTCGGGACAATGAGGATAATGAACTCAACGCGGTCAACGGCAGTCGCTGAGTCACCGATGTAGGCCTAACTCACGTACGAGCCCGTTGGTTGCCGACAATGTTACTGAGAACGGCTGTGTTTTGCAGTCTGATCAGTTAGAGGATGGCAAGTAAAAAGCAGAAGTGAAGCTAGAAGAGATATCAATCTTTGTAGTGACGGAACTGAAGCGCAGTCTTATCGCTAAACGCGCCGATGCCGTGGTTCCCCCGCCCGACGAAAGGACCTTGAACTGCGCGACGAGTCGTCAGAGTGGAGTACGCCGCGCGTGGACGAACAATAGAAAGTCAATCCGTTCGCAGTGAAAATGCTCGCCGCCCCTGCCATAGAGGCTACTGACAACTGGTAGACTGCTTTTAACCACGTGTTCGCAACGTTGTTGCGATCTCCACTCGAAAATGCGGCAGTCTTACGTAAAAGGAAACTGGCACCTCGGCACTCGCGTAGCCTCGAAATCGATGGGCGAGGAAGCAACTTTGGTTCGCGACATTTACAGGTAACTCATTCTGGACAAGCCGGAAAACATCGCCGTCAGTACAGTCACCAAACTGATAAGCGGCCTCGCGGCAGACGAGCACATGGCGACAACTTGCTACAGGACTAGAAGAAACTACACGCTCGTGCAAACAATCAGTCCTATTACATTCCTGGTGCTTATTAACTAACTAAAGGTATGTGTGCCATGATATTTTTCATCTCGGAACGGCAAAATAAAGTTTTAATAGCATTATTTTTGAAGCACAGATTTTGATTGCTTTCTTTCGCTTGTTCGGCAAAAGTGGACCTAGAACAGCTAGAGCTGTAATTGTTTTTGTACAATGTAGCTAAATGTGCACAAAAACAATGCTGGAAGCCTATTTTTAATGGGCAGCTACATTTTTTTTATTTTAATATAAAAATTTCTGTATTTAATTACATGCAATAAACTGTGCTGTAATTCGAGAAGTACTCGTTCAATTTTCGATCAGCTTGCAGTGGTGCACTCCTTAGGCTTTCTAGCATTCATTTATATGTCAATGGCCATGTAATTCTAAGTACATACATTTTTACAGCTAAAATGATAGAATTATACGTTTCCTTCATTTTCTCAAAATGGCAATTTTGCACACCCTGCATGAAAATTACTGCAATATATCGGAAACTATTACAGACAGCAGAATATTTTTTTTTTTTTTTTTGCAGCATGAAGCTATATGTTTGGAGCACACAACATAGGAAGCAGATTTTGATTTATCTTGATGCAAGTTTTTGAACTAGTCTTTTGTGTGACCACACAATGGCCACATTCAGAGCTGTGAAGTTTAGTGTACTGTAAAGTAAGAAATGATGCCCCAATCAAAAAAGTGCTTCCTATGTTGTATGTCTTATGCTTTCTACTGTCAATCCCTATGTCATTTATAAATTTTTCACGGGTGGTTATTTTTCCATTGTGGTAAGAACAATAGAAATGGTTATCTTGATTAATTAACTAATGAAGCTATAGAAAAGATCACTACATTTTTAGAATCAGGAGAACACACTAAGTAAGCATGCCAACTTTTGTCACATTTGGTTCATAAAATTAATGAGAGAGCTCTAAGACCCATGTCCCCCCTGAAAGTTCAGTCATCAGATCACGTAGCACGCCGCACTTGGCGCGAACATAGCAGACACATGTCTCGGACCCACTGAAATTGCGACTAATTGGACCCGCTGCTTATCAGCACTTCATACTTTGTGATAAAGACCACCATGGGACAGCTCTTTATACTCACGATCGACCTTAACGTAATTTGAAACATCGGGCACCATGGCTAGACCATCGCCCTCGTGGACATGCGGACGCGAAGAAGCAGTAATGTGCTCCGTCGAAAGTGACGAATTACATCACCCACAAGCTCTTCAGAACCAGGATGGCCATTCTGCCATTCTACACATCAGCAGTGGACCACCTAACCAAGCTCTGCATGCAGCGACCGCCCGAAGCAGCGGTGGCAGTGACGAGCAATTTCCCGTGTCAGCGCCCCAAAGCACAAGACCAAGCACACTGCACGCTGATTTTTTTGTCACCTTGGATAGATATAACTGGCCGTTAACAAACCAGAGATCAACGGCCTTCATTCTTAAGTTGGTATGTCAATATTTCCACCGCAGGCCGTTTCTGTCCCGATAGTATGCCATGTCTACTATGTCCATGGTAGAAAAGCCCGCTGTAAAGAAGTCCTGACCACCTTGCTGGCCTCACAATTGAGTCAATTATGTCTAAATGTCCGTTGCACCAGAATCCGTAGTAAATGAAGCTCAATCAATGAAACGAATAAGGAGGTTGGCATAAAAATGCCAATTGCTACGTAATATCCGAATGTCTGTTGTAAGCAGACTTGTTATACAGTCAACTCTCGATAATTCGAACTTGAAGGGGCCCAAAAATTTGTTTGTATTAAAAGAAGTTCGAATTAATGAAAGCTAAATTAACGGAGGGCTCAGCATGCAGTGACGCATGGGCATTGAGCTAATACACGGGAAAAAGTTTAAGAAGACTTAAATTTATTCACGAATCACAGGACATTCGTCATTAATTGAAGTAATCGATGACGCATGTCTGCACACGTTTACCTTGCAGCAAATCAATCAATTTCGCACGCAGTTTGCAAATCATTTCTACTTTGGTTTCAGCATTCTCTTGGCAAAAGAAGTTGCACGCAGCAATGTCCAGCGCTGACACACTCTTAAAACAACGACGATTGTGTCTCCAGTGCTACCCTCTGTGCTGCAGCCGCAGTGTGGCCAGCACGTGACGAGAAAGGAAGAGCATCTCCATGCAGAGAGAAAGAGAGAACCAACACTCCGCGGCAGTGGTTTTTTTTTTTTTTTTTCCTCTTTTCGCGCACGATGTTGAAAGAAGGGTTTTTACGTAACAGGGATGGAAAAGGGAAAAGCGTGGCACAGGCACGTCGCAGATCGACACTTGAAAGAGAACAAACATTGTGCCGCAGTCTTTTCTTTGTTTCTCTTCTTTTCTTTATTCGCACACAGCGTTGAGGTGTCGGAGGTGCTGCCGCTACGTGGTGCTGAGAGCATTTTCGGAGCGCAGTATGTTCAAATTAACTATCGCAAGTGTTTGTGCATTCAAATTACTGGGGCGTTTTCGCCTATTGGAATACACATAGCTTTGGTGGGACAACAGCCTCAGGTCGAATTGACCGGAGGTTGGAATTAAGTGTGTTTGAATTAATTAAATTCGACTGTAACAAGGTTATACTATACTACATGCCATGCATTGCACTGAAACTGCAGCAGGTGCACCGCTCTTTGCACATTTTGCCTGTAATCCTCCCCTTCCACATTTTTCTCAGTGCTCACCACACCATCTCTATTGAGAATTAAGCCTGTTGCCTTGCACTGCAGGAGGATATTCAAGGAGTCTTGTGATAGTTCGTTTTGCACTAGTTGCATTGTAAGCAGTATATAGCAGACTTTCAGTAAATGAAATTTCAGTAAATGAAATGGAATTTCTGCCCAAATGGAATGGCTACTTGTGGTATGATTGGTTTCGTACTTGTATTTTGCACCACGGTTCATCTTTAGGTAAATGGAACACCCTTTAAATTAGACATTCTTCTCTGGTCCCTTCAGCTTCTGTTCAATGAGAGTACTCTATAACACTGTATGTCATTTGAAAGTGAACAGAAGTCCACCGAACAAACCCACATTATGTATGAACCTGCACTCAGTTACTGCATTACAGCAGTGGTGCTGCGAAGCAGTGGACACATGGACCGTATCACCCTGCGTGCAGGTCAATGCACTGAAGGTGCGACTAGACGAGTGGCAAACGGTAGACTGCACCAGCGGCAGCGACCCACACGTGCCGGCGTCGCTGCTAAAGCTGTGGTACCGAGAACTGCACGACCCTCTCATACCCGCAGCCCTGTACCAGGAGTGCGTCGACTGCTGTGGCGAGCCTCAGGCGGTGCTGGCACTCGTCCGGCGCATGCCGGAGCTCAACCAGCGGGTTCTCGCCTATCTCATCCGGTTCCTGCAGGTACATGTTGTGCATGCTTTGCAGAGTTATTTTGCACTCGGAGATTAATAGACGCTGTAGTGATTGAACCATTTTGCAACCGAAAGAAAAATGTGCCAAAAGCACTAAAAATGTTTTTCTGCTTGATTCGTAGAGCTTTTTGTGTGAATAAATTAGTACCATTCTTTCAAATCAGTGGCTATCCTTCATTTCACTGATTGCGTAGAAAAAGCTAACTTAAAGGTGGCTTCATTGCACAGCAATACAGTGTAACCCATTTATAATGAACCCACTTACAGTAACATAGCGGTTTTAATGAAGCGATATTAATTTCCCTTTCTAATTTCTGCACTTTCAATGCCTTTTAAGTTAAGTTTTAACGTAGTATATAAACCCACCTCAGTGGATATAGCGAAACAGCTTTTTTGACAAAAAGAAAAAAAAAGCCATCAAACATCCTTTTGAGCGTTTGCGCGAATCAGAACGGTCGAAAAACCACTGATTCTTTGCTTCCGGCAGCTTCCCCCAAGATTATTTGCCCTTTCGCTTGAATCTTTGCAAAGGCTTGCTTCACCGCATCGCGCAGTCACCAAAACAAGCGAACGCTTCTTGTTGCCAGGCAGGCTGACCGCCGGATAAAAGGTTGCTGGTGTCTTATCTCGTCCACTGCGAGCTACATTCCCTGGCTTGCTTTGCAAGAACACTGCCCCACGCTTCCGGCCTTTGGGCCACCCATGGGGCCACGCAAGCCCAGTCGTGCTTGTGGTGCCGCATCGTGGGGAAAAAGTGAAGTAGGTGCACTCATAAATTGCTTTCTTCCACGGTATGGCGCCACCAGCGATGCCTGTCTAAGCCTTTCATGCTTGTTCGCATGATTCACGAATGTAAACAAAGCAGCACAGCTTGGACAGCAGAAGTACTTGTACGCTTGTTCAGCTCTGTTCACTAGTGAAAAGCGAGTCATCGCAGCACACTGGACTTTCCCTCGGTAACAGCTTAACCTGCCCTGGGCACCGACGAACTCATCGACAATGTCGAGTGCGGCGATACCCGAAACGTAAACCTCATCCACGGCCAAACAAAAGGTGCTCTCTCTCTCAATGTTAAAGGCGCCATTTTGGATGAAGTTCGCCAGAAAGTCGAGAAGACGGACATTGTACGGAATTATGGCTAAGCCCAGTTCATTTTGGCGACCATCATAAAGAATGCCAGCAAAATTGATGCTGTTTCGGAAGACGACGTTGGCAGCGGTGAGCAGAAGCGGATTGCGCTGCCAGTTATGGCGATGCTGAAGTGGCGCTCTACAAATGGCTTGTAAATGCTTGCACAAAGATCGTTCCTCTCAGTGGGCCAATCTTGCTCGCGCAGGCCAAAAGACTGGGGTTTGTTCTAGGCCACTAGGACTTTAATCTAGGCAACAGATGGTTGTAGCGGTTCAAAGACTGCCATGACATCAGCTACGAAAACGTTGTCGATGAAGCCGCAACCATTGAAGAGGACGTTCTTCAGTGTTGGATGGAGAAGCACAGGTGCTGCATTCTTGACACATATGCTGAGAGGGATATCTACAATGCTGATGAAACTGGGCTGTTTTTTCAGCTACTGCCAGCAAAAACTCTCGCAGCAAATACTGATGAATGCATGAGAGGAAGAAACAGCGAAAATCGTATCACGGCGTTAGTGTGCACGAATATGGATGGCACAGACAAGCGGCCCCTATGGGTCATCGGCAAGCATAAGAAACCGTGGGGCTTTACCAACGTGCCGTCAGTGCCAGTAGCGTAGACACACAAGACCAAGGCATGCATGAAGGGGGACATCTTCCGTAAATAGCTCACCGATTTTGACCAGGAAATGAGTGCAAAAAAGCGGAAAGTGCTGCTTCTGCTTGACAACTGCAGTTCACATCATGTCAACGCACATGTGAGCGGCGCTGTCAAGATCCTTTTCCTGCCTCCCATCGCAACCGCCAAGATGCAGCCGACTGACCAGCGAGTGATCGCAAACTTCAACGTTCACTATCACCGCTGTGTCATCAAGCGTCTTCTCAACGAGATCCAAACTCGGCTGACTTTAAGATGCTGCTGGTGAAGGCAATATTTTTCGCAAATGAAGCCAGCAGGGACGTGAAGGCTCAGACGATCCCTCATTGCTTCCAAAAAGCGGGTCTCTCGCGGGGAAGCAGCGGTGCCGAAAAAGCAGCAGCAGCAGCTGGTGCCGTGGCTGTGACGAGCTTGGGGCAGCTTTGAGAGGCCACTGGCAATGCAAGCCTTGACACAAGCGGGTTGTATTATAGGGACTTCGCTCTAGTGGGTGAAGACGTCGTCACAACTGAGGAACTCACCACCGACGAACTCGCCACTAACATCTCGGAAAAGAAAACAATCGCCGATAGCAGTTCTTCGAGCCCCGAAGGCGACGACATTGCTGCACCTCAGCCAGTGACCTTTGACGTAGCTCTCACAGCTATCGACGCACGGCGTATGTATTTGAGTTCTGAACCGGACGATTGCACTCTGATGGACAGTGTTGAGGCCAGCGTTCTAAAATCCGCGCAAACGAATTGCGTGCCTGGGGAGCCTTGACAACTTTTTCCAGGGGGTATAAATAACATTTCCTTCTTGACCTACTTGATGTCTCAGGCTTTTTTTTTTTTTTTTAGAGTTCGAATATAGCGAAAAAGTGGTTATAGCGAAGTGATGTCCGATTTCTGCCAACTTCGTTAAACAGGGCTACACCGTACAATAAAAAATGCCTATAAGATAAAAGCCGGGACACAAGTGTCACAACGGGGACAGGTGCGGCCATCTAGCACCAAGAAACACAAGTATAGTCTTTACTGGTTGCGTGTTTCAATATATTCTGTAAAATGAAAAATAGTAATAAACTTCAAACAAATTTTTGTTGATGGCAAGTGCAGTCACCATCGATCATTTTATTAAAAAATCTGATGATGACTATACTTGTCGACGGTCGTGAAAGGGTTAATGTGTCGTCTATGCACGAAGCCAGCTGGCCAAACCTCAATGATTTCTGCTGTCTAATGGAAGGCATTACAATATTGAAGAAGTTTAGCTGGCCAAGCCCAGGTATTGAGCCCCGCCAGGATATAAGCCTATGCCGTTGTATGTGGGGATAAAGTTGTATACAGCACGACCATTAAGTGCGGAATATCACTCTCAAATGGCAGACGTAGAACCAGGTTCCTCTTGCACCGCAGTGATCACTGATGCTGGCTGCGCGAGTGAAGAAATGCTCTTGCCATCTGAGAGAACTGCTATTTGGTCTCATGGGTTAAAGTACATATTGAAAGGGTTTGCAGTGCAATCACGTAAGTGCTGAAGAAAAGGGGCAATAGCAAGGAGCGGAAGGCAAAGAGGGACGACACAGCACTCGGGCAACAGCGAAGAGGTACAGCGCTCGTGTCATCCGAGTGCTGTCTCGTCCCTCTTTGCCTTCCGCTCTTCGCTGTTTCCCCTTTTCTTCAGCACTTCTGTGATTGCATTGCAAACCCTTTCAAAATGTACTTATCATCTGTCATTATAGTTCATGGTCTTCTTATTCCTACTGCGATCTAATTACATGTTCTGGTCAGTTGTCAATCCCTTTAAATCCCACCAACCAGACTAATATTTGCTTACATCTTTTTGTGACCAGCGTCAATTTTTGTTTGCTTTATGCCATGGAGCCGCCAACTTTGCCGCCCCCCAACAGTGTGCGGCGGCAGTGATTGCCAACAAGCAGATGGCGTTGCTGTAGCTCGAATGCTACGACCAAATCTTCTCATGCCCAAGCATAGCACGCATGGGGGCATTAGTGGAGATTTTTTAAGGCTGCTGTAATCCAAACAAACTTTATTTTCATGCCTTAAGAACTTTTTTCCCCCTTCGAAACTGTCTTGTGGTCCCGGCCAGAGCCAGCTAATTGGGTGGCGACTCGACTTTGAAGCAGCATGCGTTGTCAGAAGAAGTCAGATTATGGGAAGTGTGATAGCCATGTAAGGGAAACAAAGACTGTCAAGTGGCCCTGTAGCTCTTTAGAAACAGAAAACACACGCTCTTTTGTTGCTCAGCAGTGGGTGATGACATCCTTCAATGCTTACGGACTTTAAAAGGGCAGGGTTTTTTTTTTCTTTTTTTTTTTTTGCAGCACAGTTTGTACTTTCTGGGTTTTGATAGCAGAAGCATTTGAAAAGGTGTCACTCTTATATTGAAATTCAGTTTGAGAACGAGTTGAAAATTGATCACTTACTTAAAAAGCACTTGGAACTGCAGTCATCAATGTTATTTTCAGTGCGTTTGGCATGAAATGTGTCCATATGATAGTCAGTGTTTACTCTTGTAATGATAGGACAGCTCAACGATGAACCTTTTTCTCTGCAGGTTTTTGCTGCCCCTGAAAATGCTGCCCTCACCAAGATGGACGCCAGCAACCTGGCCATGGTGATGGCGCCCAACTGCCTACGCTGCACGTCAGACGACCCGCGTGTAATCTTCGACAACACTCGCAAGGAGATGGCTTTTGTGCGAACCCTCATTCAGACACTGGACACCAGTTTCATGGAGGGCGTCCTATGACCCCCGCCGACCTGTGCAGACCTTCGCTGCTCCAAGCAGCGCTGCATCAGCCGACGGCCGGGCTAGTTCACCGTTCACATTCTTCGTTGTGACGGGTCGCCAGTCAAAGGAAGACGAACGGCACTGAAAGCCTGAGGCAGCTCGGAGAGAATGGTACGGAGGCCACACTTGTGATAGAAACAGCAGTAGGAGAAGGACAGGAATGTCTAGTAGCTAGGCCTCGCTTGACTACCGACAGTTGCCAGCGGATGGCAGTGACTTTTCTTTTAGGTGCCGTTTTATTTGCACATTGACGGTGTTAGTCCTGCCTTCAGTTGGTCGAGTCTCAACAGACCAGGGTTTGAGTGTTTTGGTGACGCTTTCAGCCACTGCTAGTCTCAAAGAAACTAGCGTTGTTTCAAGCAAGTTCCCAGTACGTACTGTACTACCTAAGGTACGTTTGGCAAGTTGGTGCGCGGTAACACGCAACAGTGCGACTACGCAACTTGCCATTGCAATGTTACCTGTTGCTCGGAAGCAGTCTGCTGCCTTGTCTTGGGAGCTTCGCCGCCGGCTGCAAGTTGCTTTGTTATGCGGGGTCCATCAGTTACTGTTAATATTATTATTATCATTATTATTGTCACTCCTGCAATGCAGTTGCAGTCAGCTGCGTCAACGTTCATCTGCTGGCACCTTGCCCATTCAGCGGTGACGCAGAAGAAGCGCCGCCAGCCTCCTCAGCTTTTTTCATGCTGCTAACATTCGTTCCTCTAAATTTTATGATGCCGACGTTCTTGTTAAATTGAGTTTCTCAATTACCGTTGCCAGGAGGCAGTGTTTCGACCGCAAGGCATTGCAAACCGTAACCTGTGAGGCCCGCTTCTGCTGACATTTGGAAGAACATAGCTAGAATTCAGTCAGGCGCATTGGGCTCAACGGTGTGCCTCGCAATTTGCAGTTGCCATGTGCCTGGCACTACTTAACAAAGATGAGACAGCGGTGCTGCCCTGTCTGTCAGGTGCGACTGTCACGCGGCATCTCACGCTAGATGGCTTGCCGACACGTCACTTGTCAATTCACCAGGCACGTGGGCAGGCCTTGTTAATAACGCAGTTTCACCTTCCGTTACTCCATCGTAGACGATGTTCCAGTTGTTTTTGTTCTGCCAATGATGGGCTTTGAACTGTGAAATGCCTTGCAAGATGCCATTCAGCCAACCATAAGGCAGTCTAGGGCAGCATTGAGCTTATAGACGAACAGGAAGTTACTCCTCATAACTGTTTTTCATGTTGCGATTCTCAAGCTAAGTAACTGGTATTACGTGTAGGGTCAAGGAGCCTATGAAACATTACTCACTGGCTCATTACTCTGACTTAAATTAACTCCATTTTCAACATTGTAGTCCAGCAGCGTTTGTTAGGCTGTTTAAAGTTGCATTCTCGATACTGCCTTGGATCGTCTGGTCAGACGTCTCGGTATTCGACGCGACTCACGCTCACCAGGCATCACATGCGGACATAGAGCCACTGGGGTGAGTCGTAGCGTTCCGCAGCATTTATGGTACCGGTGCGCTCGATCGGTCAGCGGCGGGTTCCAGTATCAAATACCGCGGAGGCAGTCTTTACAGATCGTCACCACATCATTGTTCGCTTTTTTCTGGAGTGCAGCAAGCATCGGATTGTGCCTACGCGGAGTTTCGTTCTGACAGGCCACTCTATTGACTGTTCTTTAGCCTCATTCCTGGATGGATTGCAGAGACGAATGCATTTTACATTGTCACAGTAACACACTTGTTCATTGGACCCTTGTAGTGCTTACATTGTATATGTGTAACCGGGGCTCGTGCAATCGCTGGGCGTGGTTTGGGCTACGTACAGCACAGTATCCTCATTCGCAACATTGCCTTGTCTCTGCAGAGGCCAGTGCATGCCTCTTCTGCACTCGCTGAGTTGTTTACATGGCAGTGATTGACACACGTTCAAGCCAGGACAAGTAAATTCTTCCCCCAAGCACACTGTCCTAGAAAAGATGTGCATTGCATTGTCGCCTGAATTATCATTCACATGAAAACATGTTGTATTTGTCTTCCAGGTTGTTTCGTGCCAGACGGCTTTGTGCAATTTCGTTTCCTTGAAACGTTCAGTTCAGTTTCGCACTCTGTCATTCACTGCATAGCACTTCTGTACACCGTGGGAGCGTCAGCTTCAGCGCAGAGTTCTCAACTGGCTACTGAGCTTTAGTACAGCATGCACGTTCAAGTCACAGATGATGCAGTCAGTGGTGGGTGTGCAACGAGCTAAAAAAAATGAGCTAGGGCAACTTGAAGCGTTCATGAAGCTTGAAGCAAAAACACGTAACACGGATGATGTGTACAACAAAGATTTGGTCAGGCTGCACGCAGTTCCACATCCCGTTCAGCCATCAGACAACAGTATGAGCACTGGCAGCCATAGTTGCGTGCAATACTCTTCTGTCGGATGGTCCTCCAAATTCGTCAATGAAACACCAGATTCCACTCCCTCATATTTTCTTTAACTTGCATAGCAGTACTTAGTTTGCACCCTGACGGGTGGGCACCAAATTGTGACACCGTGATTTTGTGCGGCTTCGTTCAGCCTTTTTTTAGAGGGGACACCGAAAATTAACTCTGGAAAGGTATGCCTAATGTAAGGATAGTTTGAAAAACAGCTTTGCATCATTTCTTTAGCCCAACCCTTTTGCAATGAACTTGGAGTTTTGTTTCAGCACGATTTGGATGGGGAGGTTTACCTTTGGACACAGCAAAAATGAGTAGAATATGATTGAATGAATTGAATCATTAAATCACACAGGGCACGGTGTTCTAGTGCAGAGACCAGTCATCACTTTTTCAGATATAGTTCACAGTGCAAGTGAAGTTGGCTAAAAAACTCAACATCAACGTAAAATTCATTCATCAATACGTATTGCTTTTAGAGAAACTGCGCTAATGCATTTAAAAATCACATTCATCTTCATCATCTTGGTGGAAGAAGTCGATGCACTTTAGCACAAACCATTGACACTCGTTGTACTATGCCCATTGTCACCTGTTATTGTTTTCTTCTTTCCATATCATTATCACTCTATCTATTAAAGGGATGCCGAAGAGGTATAATATAAAACTAGCCTAAACTGGAAGATTATGCCGTCGGTCTACCGTGGGCTCCTTTGGGCCTTGTGGTTACAGTAGCACAGTGCCCTCGAATTGAAGTGCTTCACTTTGAAAGTGAAGCAATGCGCACACTTTCGTTTTTGGGCCGCTGCAGTGTTCTACTGGTTATAGTGCCCGACTGCTGGCACAAAGGTCGCGCGATTGAATTCTGGCCATGGGAGCCACGCTACGATGGAGGCGAAATGCTGGAGGTCCGTGTGCTTAGATTTGGGTGCACATTAAAAAACCCCAGGTGGTCGATTTTCTGGACCTCTCCACTACGGTGTGCCTCATGATGTCATGGTTTCGGGACATAAATACCCCAACAATCATTTTAATTTACACCATCTTTAGTTCATGGCCTATCCGTGCGATTTACACTCAAACCTCAACAAAGTTGCATCTTACAAGAAAGTTCGTTATATCTGAAAGTTTGCAATAAAAGTTATTCCTAACACTGTAGCGATTGCAAGACTATTTTTCAGTAAACTCAGCTTCAAAAATTGGTGTCGGTATGTTGGGTTCCATCGAGAACTACCAGATTGTCTGACGGGTCTCGGCAGTCGAAGTGGCCACCTTTCAAACACCTCACACATTGCGTTGGCCGGCACGTCATTGCTTAGTTTCTCACACACGCTAGCAAAGCAGTTTCTTCATCCAATTCATAACTCTTTCGTCCCGGTTTTACACTTTCCCGGTTTTTTGCGTCCATATTGACGCGCGTCTCACGCACACCTTCGTCCCCGCACATTTTTTATTATGTTGTACCATCTTATTTGTTGTTCATGTTCTTAGCTGATGAGGCCTTTTACAGTGCCCTTTTTCTTGTTTTGTCATTGCTTACTTTTATTATGTGTCTATTCATTGTTGCAAGACATGGATGCTTGATTTTTTTTTTCTGCTCGCTTTTATAACAGACAGTTGTTCACTTCTTTTATTAACGTTGGGCAACGAAGCATTTTATTTCCATGCTTGATCAACCTTTCTTGTACGGTTTCATCAAAGTTTATGATGCTGCCTGTTTTGTCATTGTTCATGTTTTAAAAATTGGTGCTTGTACATAGCTGAGTCATTTTCCCTGTCTTGTAAGAGACAGCAATCTGGCTTTGAAGCTTAGTCTGGTTTGAAACTGCCATTTTGTTTGTTTGTTTGCTTACATGTCGTAGCCTTGGTTCTGTTTTATGCTCCTTTGTGTGTGATGAAAATGTATGGCAAGCTGAACTTTTTGGCGTGTGGTTCAGCTGTGATGCCATCTATTTGGGTCAATAGGGCCTGGGTACTAATACAGTCAACTTGCCATAATTCGAAACTTCAATTAGTCAGAACTCTCGCTGTTTTAAGCCAGCATGAAAATTCCAATTTGACCCTTTCAACACAGCTTAAGTGAGCACTTCTCAAAGCACAGTGGTGCTGCAGGAAATTACTAATTAAAGAATGCACATGAAGAGCAATTAGTAGAATGTGTCCGCGTTTGGTGTTCCAAATTCTCTATGCATAGGAAGGAAATTCTCTGTGCATGGGAAGGCAATCGGGTGCAATACAGTGCAGGTAATACTGTTCCACGCTATTGGTGTTTTTCTGCAAAGCCAAAATAGTTTTTTCGTTTGTTTGGTTTCTTCAATCTGTGGGCCTGAATATATGTTAATTAAGAAATTCGATACTTGCACGTCATGGCCCCCACATTGTACAACTGCTCAATAATTGCAAATCAGAGATGTGTGAATGTCTTTGCTTGACACAAGTTGACTGTGCATGAATTTAAGTGCCCAAACACAAGCAATGTGCCCCCTGCTTTGAGTGCAGAAGGGATGTTGCACACTAATGCCTGTTCACTTGACTGGCTACTTCAAGCTTCTTCTTAATATCGTTAACACTAGCGGTGTAGCATTGGTATATGGTGCTCTCCCATAATGTTCATGTTACACATGTTCCGGGGGTTTAGTATACAACTTTCTGCATCAATAGCTTGAAGAACTGCCCCGGATCATTGGAATCTCCCTCCCCCCTTAATTTGCATGTGTAGTTCAAATGTGAGTAATTTTACATAATTTTACTCATTTGCAATTCAACATTCTTAAAAATGTTCTTTTAAGGGCTGTGGGCTGAGCCATTCAGTTTGGCACCAAAGGTGTTGATTGCAAAGTTTATTTCATTTCCAAAATTTGATAGACGGAGAATGCGACTCCTGCCTGCAAGTTCACACTTACTCCGTAGGGCTTATTTTGTAATCACCACCTGTGTTCAACCCACTGCGATCGTTGGACAAGACAAGTCTATATGACACATCTGAGGCACAGAAAAATCGTGGCTGACAAGGCCTTGCTTTTCCATTATAAAGTTCAGCTTTCAGCATGCAGTGAATAGTGTCTATTGCCTGGTGGGAATGCTCTTATTATCCATGCGTCCCAAAGGTAGATTGGGTTCAGTCAAGAATAACCAAAGTTCCGTAATTCAGATGTCTATGTTATACTTGAAAACAGAGCAGGCTTTTTGTGAGGAGGCCTGTTATTTGAGCTTACTTCTTGTTGATGGTTACCTTGACTTCAGCTTAAGTGACAGTGCGCGTTGTCTTGCCCCATAAAAATATTAACTCACATGATGAACGATAAGATATCCCGGCTTCGGACAGTGTGCAACACTGTCTCCCCATTTTCGTGGCAATAGTTTTCCATCGGCAAATAGCGCTTGGTGATTAAGAAAGTTGCCTCTATGTTTCGGTATTCTAATCACACGTATATAAACGTGTGAAACGCTGCATTTGGAATCAAGGTGTTGTTCTTATCTTTTATTTTCTATTCTATGGAGAACTGGGTCAGTAATGATTGCTTCGAGCTGTGACACATCGGTGCACTGTTTGCCACATCGTGTGTCGCAGTGCGGTTGTGCAGTGTGACTGCCCTAACCGTCACTTTCATTGTCAGACCTGTTGCTGACAGCTATATCTCTTCCTGCAAACTTTCTATCATTTCACGCTCCTTCTCGACACTGGGAAGTGACTGCTGTCACTTTATGAAAGTGCTCTGCTGTATTTGGCTAATGCTCCTAAACAACACTAATAATGATGAGTTGGCTATCAAACACACTACCGCAGTGTAGCACTTGGTACACACTGGAAGTATATCAAAGCAAATGGGAGTATTGGGGCATCTTTCTGCTGTCACAATAATGATGGCCACCTGGAATGCTTGCGTTTCTCTAAGTGCTCGCTTCTTTCCTGCCAAAAGTGCATGGCAGACAGACACCCAAATGACACACCTCCTTGGTGTAACAGTGTGCTTCACTCTAATGATGCACCTTCACTGAGAAGTTGCTTGAAAAACAATCCTTCATATTTCCACAGCTGAGAGTTGTCAGAAGCTACACAGGAACAGAGTTGTGGATTGCAAACCACTGAGGCACTAGTTTTGAAGAGACTGACGACTGGCTTTGCTCGACTTGCGGCACAACGAAAAAGCTCCCCCTCGATAGCAGTTAAGCCTGCAGCGGTTAATTCCAAGAACACGCAGATATTTCACAAAAAGTTTTCTATATGAGAAGCCACCAAAAAAAACTTGAGGGCCTTCTCTGGTGACGCTGACCATCGATAGCAATTCCAGCAAACCCCCTGGCAAACTTTTCATTACGCTCAACGTTCTACTTTCACAGAAGTCGGTACTGCTGTGTTTAACAAGCTTCGTTCTGCCACTTTTATTTTTTTTTAATGTTACTGCTAGTAGATTAAGTTCTTCGAATGCTCGTTGTCAAATACTTCTCCAAGTTGTTCACAGTTGCCACAACTTTCATGCGGCCCGTGGTTTCTGCTATTAGCTTCATTCCGAGAGACGATCATGAAGGCCACATGCTGCCATTCATGATCGTACGCCAAGCAAAGGTGGAGCCACTGTTTTGCTCGCTACAAACAAAAGCGTATCGGCGCATTCCAGGTTAGAAAAGAGTATAACCAAAAAGTGTGCCGTATTTCAACACCGATATAAAGAGCATTAACCGTGTGCATCCATAAAAAGGTCAGGTGATCGCCATCATACGCATGTGCACTTCTTTGCCGAGTTAGGTGCCACGACCAACTTTAGTGATGAAATAAAAATATAAATCCACGTCCAATGAGAAGAACAGGGCTCGTTTTAGTCAACATGACATACAAGCTTTCCATTAATGGGGTTAGATAAATTCGACGTCTAAGCGGTTGTCTGCCCCTTTAAGCCCGCTGATTATTGCAGTTTTGTGGTGCTGTCCGCAACTCTTTAGAGATGCTGTGTCTAATGAAGTAACATTCAGGAAGTTAGCTCCCTACCCACACTGCTATATTTGCTTGGGAAAACATTGTGTTTGCTTGTCGGAGTTGCTGCGCCGGATCGGCTTGAAGCCCACGATACAAAGTTGTGGGCATGTGCGACGCTGCCCGACTGTTCTTGCCCTACAATGCCTGTACGGCTATGCTTGTACAATTGTGCACGATTCGCAACGTGCACCTGAAGCTATTATTAAACGGGGTTGTGTAAGCGGAAATCTGTTTACGTCACCCGCTGTCACCACTGATTGAAGAACTTCCTTTTCTTGCATGTTGCCAGAACCACTATTGTCTTTCGTTTCTTCAAAAGTGAGCATGGTTCGCTCAACGCACAGTTGTCGTGATGCTTGCTCAATTGTTGTCGCCTGTGTTGATGGTACAGGACAATACTTTGAAAGGTTCCAGCTATGCACGATGGCAGGTCAACATCCCTTATCGTGGTGGTCAGCACTGGAAGCAAAAACATCTAGCTGTGCCGCTTAAAACCGCAGTGTCAAAAGTGTGCTGCACCTTTGAAGAAACATTGCACAGGCCAAAAATCTATATAGTGCCATGGCATATTACGTTTCCAGTGATGTGACTGTAGTAATATGGAGCATTCTGTGTTGCCAACTCTGTGTAGCGCAGGAGAGGCTGGTGGCATGTGTTGGCTCTGTGTTTCAAAGAATTAAGAGAGCGGTGTTTACTAACACTGCCACAGAACATTCGTTCACGCGGCATCGCTTAATCGAAAACTAGCAGCAGAAAAGCCCCGGCTCTCTGTTCCCACGGGACGATGCGAATGCATAGCTTTTGCAAGGCTGTGTAGAGTTGGCAATAAGGGAGTGCTGTGGGCAACAACACTTAGGCCAATGTAGTTAGTACATTTAATTGTATTCTATTTTCTATCTAACTTGATTGTCGGCAAGTTGCCGTATTTTTTTAAGCTGTGGTTTCCCTGAGCGTTCTGTGCATGCTGCCCTTGAACATGAGCTGTGAATGTATTTTTTCTTATGTGTGCTAGCCAACTCTTAAAGCATCACTGAGAAGTTGGAACGGTCATAGAATAAGTCTGACGAACTCTTCCCAACACCTTTGTACTCGTGTATAATTCAGGACCTTTTGCACTGCAAGTGGAGAGAAAACTTTTGCAAGACTTGCTAGACCGTTACCGGTTCGGATCATTGTATGCCGCATCGAACAACACAATACCAGATGCGTCTCTCTGCATCTCGGCTGTCATCTACGCTTTTTTCCTTGCTTCTCATGTTTGATCTTTGTTGTGATCGGCAATGAGTGTTTTGCGAGCAAGGATGTATGTTGAAAGACGGTCACGCAGAAGCGTTGTCTCGTTTGTTGAAAGTGGCGTGTTGCAATTGTGTCGCCGCATCTGCCTGCTTGTTTAGCATAGCATTATGCGTAGTGTTTTGCGGGAACTTGTCCTCCTCTGCTGCCTTGCTCATTCAGCAGCAGTGATGTGCAAGAATGCGCAGGTTTCATGTGCTAGAAAGAACTCTTGGGCCAGTGTCAGCAGCTAGGTGCATAAATTTATTTTGTTGCGTCTACCTACCAACTGTATGTTGCTGTATGTGCTATGCTGCCAGATTTGACTCGGTTTAACTGCTGGTAGTCATACAAGCAGCTAAAAAAAAAGGCGGATTAGAGGAATTAGCAAATGTGTACAGTCTGGGGATGAAGCTGCAAAATGTTTAGTGCAGACGTGCTATGCGTATATTCTTATTTTGTGCCCCTGTGTTCGTTAATGTCTACAAAAGTTTTTTTTTGTTGTACCATAACTGCATTTTGCTTCAGTTTCAAACTGCGTACTGCTCTTCTCACTGCCTTGTTGGTGGTCATACCCGGCAGCGAGTGAGGGAAAGGCGTTTTCTCCAACACTCGGTCGTCGGGATTCAGAGAATTTGCGGACAAGCGTTGCCTGCGAGCACCAAGGCTGCACGTTGCTGCTTTCCTTAGCAAACGGGGGAAATTGTTTCGTTCAGTCAGCAGGCCAGGCGTACTTGCGGTGTGCTCGCTGAAAATGTATGGAAGCTTGGCACCGACAATTGGACAGTGTAGCTCACAGCAGCGACGTGGCGGCCCGATCACTTAGTGAACAAATTCTCTGCCCTTCCCCGCCCCTCCCCTTCGAGTTAAGTTCTAGTCTCGTTGCGTTTCACGCGTGCTTTTTTTTTCTTTTCGACGGTGTACTGATTTCTTCTATTTGCACTTTCGCGAGAGTAAAGAAGGGGTCTTTTCATTGCGCGGCATTGTCGTTTCGATTGTACACACGCTGTTATTATATAGAGAAAGAGAGAGCCTGCTTAAATACTCTGGCGATTCATCAATGATGTATGTATTTATTCCACGACGAAAATAAAATGTACAGTCTGTTTTAGTGACAATAAAGAGAGTCTGCAAAGCAATGCCCGTGTGGTGTAGAGGTACATACTCTTATGCAGCAACCGCTTCAGTGGACCACGGAATTGTGTACAGGTAAGGCAAGCACAAAATCAGCTGACCGTGAAAACTATCACTATTTTCGTCGATTCATTGGCAGGCGCACTTCGCATGCTGAAGGGCGTGAAGAAAAAAAAGGTAAAAGTCGATATCGTAGGACCTTCTAAAAAAGGCCGTAGATGGCCGCAAAAAGGTGCAGCGCGTGCGTTTTGATGACGTACCGCGGAAACGCTCCGTGCGATGGCTGCAAGTGTTTTCCTCGTGCGCCGATCGCGATGCAACACGGTGCTGCTGCACGCGATAGTTGTTTTAGGTGAGAAAGATGCGATGCAGGTAAAAATTCCCCACTGCAAGACTCCACAAAATACTCGCCGATGTGATGTGTGTAGAGTGGCACTGAGGAAACTACGGATTGTAGACCCGTTATCTCTTCGGAAAACAAAATCGACAGAATCTTGCAGCGGGCGATTCCATTCCGCGGGGTGGGCGCGGCGGCTGGACACGGCTAATTGGTCGGCCACCCCCGTCGTCGGGAGGCGCTGGTGAGCTCGTCCAAACAACGAGGAATCCTGGGATATCGTCTGGCTGCGGCGAGTCTGCTGAGTGCCCAAGCGAATCTCGGAAGAGCCAAAAAGTTTTGCGTAGTCCGGTCGAAGCCGCTGGACGATAATGTAATGATCGTTTCCGATTTCCAGCGCGAATTCGACGAGCATGGAAGGAGACGTGAATGGTAGGTGTCTCCAGACAGGGCAAAAAGCGGAGAAAAACTTCGCGAGGGAGCTCTTCTTTCGAGGTACGGGCACTTTCCATCGGGGTGCCTGCCCGGGCGACTGCGGTTTAGCGCCTTCGAGAGTGTCTGACGATGCCGACATCACGCTTCCGCAGTCCCTGATTGCTGTCAGAGTGTTGTGTGTAGCCGCGGACAGCCGGAACGTCTGCAACTTCTGTCACGATGACCCCGATTTTTTTCCCGTTTCGCAGGCACCACCAAGACTCTCGTGTTCAGGAGCGAGTGCTTTGCTTCCACGACGGTGAGTTCCCGAAAATTTTCTCCTTTTTTCGACTACCCAGTGGTCGGTCACGGGTCTCAACGCTATCGTGACGTTCTTGACGACGCCATGTATAATCGGGCGGACCGTGATCGTGCACTCGGAGCGCTCACCGTTTGCTGTTGCGCAGGCCGACGGCGAGCCCCCACGAAAACGCCAGCGGACTTCCGAAGACTTCATTTCCTTCTGCAAGTTCATCCTCGAGTACGAGAACTACGAGAGCATCAAGCAGGAGGAAGAACTGCAAGAGAAGGACGCGGCCAGCCCTTCGGACTGCTCGGCCGACAGCGTCGACAGCGTCAAGCAAGAAGACAGCGAGCTTCAAGGTAAGGTTTGGAGGGGGTGCGTCCCTCGCTTGTTCGGTCTCGATCGAATGGCGTCGCTAAGAACGCGAGCCTTACATCCGAGGAGGCACGCACATAGAGAACCCTAGACCTCACAAGATTCCGTCGACCGTCCTCAGGTTTCAATGGCGGCACAACACGACTTTCGTGGCTTGGGCGCGGTATCTGCGCCGCACTTTTCGATTCGTGGCCTCTGCGGCACTTTTGCAGCACTTAAGGACTGCTCAAGCGCGCTAGTGTGGACTTCGGGTTTAGGGCACTGGGCTGCCGTGGTCCACACAATTGGCGCTGAAAAAAGGTGCATATGCTTTCATGCCTTGTACGCGCTGAGAGCGCGAAAATGAGCTTAATTGAACCTGAGAAATCGTCTTGCGCGAGAGGCCAGTGCCTACTTGTCCACCGATTCGTATTCTGCGGTTGAAAAACCACGAAACTCCTGCACTGCAGCGGTCGACAAGCGTAGGCCGCCGCTAACGCGTCACATTCGAGTGCGCTGCACGGTATTGCGAGCAGTGCTTTCCATCATTCGTGCACACAGTCTTGTCACGAATCGAACTCATCGCGTTGCGTTCGTTTCGTGCTTGCGCCGATTGCTGGGTTGTGCGGTCAACCACAGCTAGATCTGTGCAGGCCACGCTAGTCTGAAATTCCCAGTTCGCGCTACCCTGGCGACGAAAAAATGTTAGTGCCGCTCGAAACGCTTTCGAGCATGAAAAGAGGTCTTGAATTCGACTAGCAGAAAGCTTGACGCGGACGCCTGCACCGCAGTCAATTCCGAAAGAGTCGTGCGAAGTGGGAGATGCATGCCTGCCGTCAACATTTTGCGACCCTTAGGTGTAGGATGAGCGGGTGACAGATACTCGAACCCTGCTACCTTTAGCCAACGTGCATGCATCGAAGCCTGTCGTTGCGTGTGGTGAACCTGTCATTTCTAAAAGCTGCTTTTGTCAGGTGGTCTGTGCGTGTACAACATTTCTTGCTGCACAAGGTAGGCACAAAGTAAGCATGCTACGTGGATTGAGTCACATTCCTTGCTGTAACACTGTTCACACTTCAAACTTAGTGCTGTCATCCTCTGGCTCGCTTTGGATTGCATGCTACATTGCTTAGGTGGCCACACAAACAGTGAGTGGTTACTGCCAAGCAGTCGGTCGTCACTGGCACCTTTTTGCATCACAATGGTGAACATGTGCAATAGGTACCCCCCCCACCCCCTGTTCTGATTGAGAAAAGCTTGGAATGTGTAGTCACTGCTCTGTGCCAGTTACGTTCCACGTCTTTGCACATAGTGCTCGAGAAAGCATGTTGGCCATCTTTTGTTATGTTTCTATGATGACTTTGGATGCTGTTGCTAGAGCAGTTACCTGTCCTGTGTTGCTGCTCAAGTGATACAACAGTTGCACTGTGGCTAATAAATAGGCTTCTTAACTCGGACCGCACGCGCACAGAATGCCAACTGCAGTTAGAGAATGCTACCGGAAGCATGCAAGCAACCAAGACATTGCTTGCATTTAGTTAAGCACTGTCGTAGCACCTGTTACCCTTCGGGCTTTTTTTTTTTTTTTCAAGCATTTATTTTGCACTTATCATTTTTAATATTAGTTGCTTTATAGCAGACTGAAATTTACACCCAGCAGCATGCAAAAAAGGGAACAGGTACTAAGACTGTGCTGAACTAAAAGCAAGCAATGTCTTTGTTGCTTGCAAGCTTCCAGCCGATTATTTGTGCAAAAAATGGTGCTTTGTCGGGTTGCTGTGTGATAGGAGACGCAATTGCATTCCAGTAATGTTCGGCTACAGATATACTACGCATTCAACTTTTCATTTATACCAGGCAAAACCTCAATGTGCCAGCATTGCCGTCAAGCTTTGCACGCTTGGCTGGTATGCATGTGCAAGGTATTAAGACAGGCCAGGTTTATCGTGCTCATTCTTTTGCATCTTTGGCAAGTGCGAGAGATCACGCTTTGACGCTTCAGCACAGTGTGTTCACGCAATGTTGTTACAGTATTTCATCTGCTATGTTGCTGTTCGGCTTGCTGCACAATTAGCACAATACATGTCTTAGCAGCACTAGCTAATTACATTTCATTCTAGACATGCTGCATAATGCCTGAATGAACTTTACACATAGATACTGTAATTTTGGCATAGCAATGACAGATTTGTTGTGTGCACTACGCTATCGGTGCATCTCAACTCCCATGGCGAATTAAAAACCTGTGCTTGTGGTATTCGAAGCTAATCCTGTTATTGGGCATTGCTTTTCGTACGTCTAGCTGTGTTTTCTTGAACTACACAGTTGGCTAAAATGGACATTGTATTTTCGGAATGTTGAGCACAGAAGCATATAAAGATGGGGACACACATACAAGCAAGTAGTGTATGTGTATGTCCCTTGTCCTAGTCTTTGTAAGTCTTCTGCACTAAACACTTGGAATATATTCAACCAACAAGACCCAGAAGGTGCCCTTGTTAACGACATTATATGCTTAGGGATTTTTCTAGGCAAGAAATGCCTAGAATGTGCGCTTGAAAAGTACCGCTGGCCTGTCCATATTGAAAGTAGCTAACGTGGTTGCTTGGGCGAGTTGGTACGACATGATTCACTTAAAAAAAAAAAAAACAGCACCAATAACGAGGGACAAGAGAAAGAAGGAGACAGACAGCGGCACTGACTTACAACAAGATTTATTTGCCAGAACCGCACAATATATACTTGGGCAGTGTCTAACAAAAAAAGAGAAAAATACAAAACAAACAAAACAGAATCCACCTAACAACCACGTAGTCATCTCCACAACGCACCACGAACAACACGTGTGCTAACGTGCCGAAGGAAATCTATTTCTTTTAGTGATAGCGCAATCGAAGGCCTGCTGACACATGCACTGCCCAGCCTTTCTATTTCTGAAGCCTCATAAATTTCACGTATCATCTGGTCCCGATGACGCCTAATGACGGTACAAAGCTGAAAATCAGGGACACAACCGCAGTCTCGGCAATGAATGCCGAGATGGCCCGAAACTGTGGAGGAGACGTTGTGAGCGTGCTCTTTCAGCCTCTCATTTAAACACCTGCCTGTTTGGCCGATGTACCACTTGCCGCAGGACAGGGGTAGAGAAAAACGTGAAATTTATGAGGCTTCAGAAATAGAAAGGCTGGGCAGTGCATGTGTCAGCAGGCCTTCGATTGCGCTGTCACTAAAAGAAATAGATTTCCTTTGGCGCGTTAGCACACGTGTTGTTCATCGTGCGTTGTGGAGATGACTACGTGGTTGTTAGGTGGATCCTGTTTTGTTTGTTTTGTTTTTTCTCTTTTTTTGTTAGATACTGCCCAAGTATATATTGTGCAGTTCTGGCAAATAAATCTTGTTGCAAGTCAGTGCCGCTGTGTGTCTCCTCCTTTCTCTTGTGCCTCGTTATTGGCGCTGTTTTTTTTTTTAAGTGAATCGGTCCATATTGTCACAAATGTACAGCTCCGTAAAGTAGCCACAATTATAGCATTATAGTTGCATGCTTAGGTTATGTTCTACCCTGCTCCAATTTGTTATCATTCACATCAGAGAACAAGGTTTTCAGTGCTACTTGTGCAGTGCCGGACTCCCATTTTACATAACGTAAATTATGAACCTGTGCAATTTCCAGAAGTGCTTTCTTTCATTGTAAGTAATGTGCAGTGTCCACTAATCACTTCTAGTGCTAAGGTGTTCTTTCAATGCCCCTTTTCCATTTATTTGGTTGGGAAAGCACTTGTAATAGAAGCAGTGGTTGCACTTTTAACTAAATGCAGTGCTGGTCATCAAGGTATTTAGCACATATAGAGACCATTTTCTGTGTATAAAGCATTCTCACAGCTTGCTCTACTAGATCATTTGCTGATGAAAGTTTTTCAGCTTTTTTTTTATGTTAAAAACAAACTAATCCTGAACAGGCTCTTCATTCAGTTGATCCTTATGTGTTATCTATGAAATAACTCAGCCTAATAACCATTGTTACTGTCTGCCTCAGCTGTGCAATTTGTCTTCTGCATGATTCTTACGTTCATGTATTCAGCACTGGCATAAGCTAAGGAATTGGTAAAGGTGCTATAATTTTTTATCTTTAGACACAACTTAGCAAAATGTTAGGGTGGCTGTTGCATAAGCTTTAGCATATAGGCAAGCAGGATGCAAAGCAGATTGCAAGTTTTGTGTGGGGCCTATTATTGGGCAAGATTTAAAAGGGGGAAATGCAGTGAACGGAGGGTGTGAATGCAATTTTCAGCAGCCGTGGCTAACAATATGCATTTTGTGTGCCTGTTTGTTTCGCAAACAGACGGTCGCAAAAGAGTGACTGGCGAGGCTGTGCTCAGACTCGTGACAGAGTTCCACTCGTGGATCTGCGATAGTCGACCAAACTGTTGTCGCTGGCCAAATCCAAAAGGGAGAGAACCACTGCGTGCTAAATTGCTGCAGAAATTGTATTCGATTTCTGCTTATTGAGTCACTGTGGTGATTTCAGCGTTACTCTGCGCCTGTCAAATGACAGCGTACTGCGCATCTGTGTAAGCGCAGCCTCCTGCGGAAAGCGCAGCACTGCAGTTCCAATGCCTCTGCAAAGTCCATAAATACCAGACGGGCTCGGCCCGTGCACACGACTGGCAGGAGGGCCGCGACAGGCCTCAATAATTGTGACCCGACCCCCAGGCCCGGCAAATGGATCGAAAAAACAGGCTGTACGGTGAGTCGATCCAATGCAGCGAGTCAAAACTTGCAATAACCTTGCCAGATCCACCAGTGGAATGTTATGAAGTTCTTTTCGGTCGGGAGCAAACACCTGCCTGCCGGTTCACACGAGTGCTCACCCTGGCTCCAACCCCCGTTTTCAGTTGGCAAACCCTTGGGCTGCCCTGCTGTGCTGCCCGAACGTGCCACTGTGCAGCCAACAATGAGCCACGTGCTTTTAATGCAGCCCGATGCCTTGCGTGAGTCTGAGCGCCTTGATCTCCTTGTCACTGCAGCACGCTTTTGTACGACGGTGCAATGTCTGAAGAAAGTGTTGCAGCATGTGCACAATGAGCCGCAGTCTCCCGATGAGGATAGACATCTCCATGTTATAGCTGTTTTAGAGCAGTTATGCATAAGCTGTAGTTCTAATTAAACAACCAATGTAAATAGAGTAACAACTACCAACAGTTAGCATAGACTTGCAAGTCCTTACATCATCTATTTAGAAACATCATCTACCTTGCAATAAGGGGGACATGGTCTTCAGACAAAAGTATGTTTGCCAAATGTCATCTTGAGAATTTGCATCTATTTATTCACCTTATCCTCTAAGTTTCCTCCGTCAACAGTAATATCAGCGTAGAGACATGTGTGCTCCGTAGTAAGAAATGATGACCCAAACATAAATGTGTTCTTGCGGTTTTGAGTCATGTTTTTCCTGCTATTGATCCATACGTCAGTTGGTCTATTTTGGCGAGGCAGTGATTTGTTCATTGTGATAAGAACAAAAAGTATAATCAAATAATTCACCCTCAAAAAAAGTAACTGCAGAAATGTGACAAGAACTTGCGTAATTGTCTAAACATATTATTGAATTTAGTTTGCAGGCATGTAAGGAAGGCTTAAAGCCCACGTCACTACGCCTAGCTTTGCATTTAGCTTTGTAGCTTCTTTCTCTCTCGTGCCTTGTCTATAAGTGGCTGGAAAGAAAGACGGATTTTCTTTCTTTATTCTTCCAGAGCCTTCCGTGCTTTGGAAACCCTTTTGTAATCCTTGCAGAAAGCTTGGATCCGTTAATAGTATGCACGTGTTTAGCCCACTCATGATGTGTTGAAGTGTTGCAAGCTTGTACGGAAGCAAAAAAGAAAAATTAGATGTCCCTTTTGGCACCATGGTAGTAACCTAACCAGTTGCACGGTGCCTGGGGGCAGTGTAGCAATAGCTGGCTATGTAGCCGTTGTCGAGGCTTCACATCGAAGCTCACACTAATGCACTTCGGCGCACTGTATTCATAACTGATTCCATATACACTCAAACCTCTATATAACGAACTTGGATATAACAAATTATTGGTTATAAATGAAGTAAGCGATGAAAAGCTTTGTCGCAGACACAGTTCCAAGCATGTATATCTATAAGGAATTTTCAGTGTAGCGAAGTATTTTCGTGGCAGTTGAGACTTTGTCATAATGAGGTTTGAGTGCATATGATTCCTTAGCCGGCCACAAATGGATAAACTGCTGTCGCACAATGCCTCTTTTCCCCTCCTAGATATCACCACTGGTTATCTGCAAACGTTGCTGTCAGACCCGTGACCACTTTCTAACGCAAACAGATCTGAGCTCTCCCTGCATGCAACATGCAGAATCTATGGTGCCCCTTTCTTTAGTCTCAACTTATTCACATTTCATACATGACCCCCCCCCCCCTGCATGAATGTGTTTGCAATCACTTGTATTTGTCTGTTTGCAGGTGAGTCGTGCACCTAAGTAATGCATTGGCTTTGCGGAGGAGGCTGTATTATGGAGTCAAAAATTATTAACGAGCTACTTTGTTCTCATAAATTTCTTGCTGACAAACTCAAGCAGTTCACTGAACCGCTTTTTAATTGTAATCTCTGGGAAGCCGCTCATTGATTCTTTTAAGTTGTCCCATCGAGCATGCTCTGCAGAAGTTTCCAGAGATTCTTTACTGCAGCTGCAATGTTGTATGTATTACTTGCATGTCGCTCTCCTGTTATAGTTTGGTGCCCTTTTCTGGTTCATTTGGCAGCTGCTTTTACAGCAGGTATGACGACAGTATTTTCGTTTTTGCTCCCTGGCTCCGGTAAAGCGACTGCCGGGTAAGTTGCCGTTGCCAAGACTTCCACATTGAAGGTGACACTAATACGCCTGGTCGTAAGGAGTCGATATGTCAAGATTTATGAGAGTTAGGTAAAAAGTAGATACGGTAGTGAAGTACAAATATGCTATAGTACACATAGTGTAGATCAGCTAGAGATAAATATAAAATGGAATTTTTTTAGATATATGGTAAATAAAACCTTGTTAATATGAAAATTGAGTAATTTGAGGACAGCATATGCATTATTTAATGAGATCAAACTCGATTCGTTCTTATTTGGCCATAACCTGGCTAATGTGATGATCCTCAAAGCACGCCCAGTGCGAAATACCACTAACGTGCGACACAAAGGAGCGAAAAGTGTGTTCACAGGCAGCCACAATAGCCATGGGCTTTTCTAAAGACATGGTTGCCATCCACAGTTGCATTGTTGTTATGTAATAAGGCATTGGTTCAGAGCTCGTTTTGGCTTAAGATGCGGGGATGTTGAACTGCGGTCACATTGTGAAGTAGCGGATGATGACAATTGAGGGCTTACAGCACTCTATGCTGAATAAGCACTGCATTTACGTATTGCTCAAAAAATTATCTTCTTGATTTAATCAACATTTCTTTGTTGTCTTGATACTTTTGGTAATTTTGTTAAATGGGACAATTTTTATGGTCCCGTGAAATCTGACTCTACTAGCTTTTAGTGGACTAAATGTGGGCAATATGCATGATAACATGCAATAATTAGGCACTCTTGAAATGTCTGAAGACATCATCCGAGGAGGTACTGCTTTTGCAGTGACGCCAATTGGCTGTATAAGGAGCAATGCAGGCATAAGTGCTGAGGAATGCAATGACTTGGTACGAATGCATGAGGCAGCTAACATTTTTGTTTTTGCATCAGCTTGATTTTTAGCACACTGTCAGCGTAGACTGCCTCGTCTCGAGTTGCCTGCACTCTCGGTTTAAAAGTGCACCTCTCAATTTGGCGACCATGGCAACGCATGAATTGTATTTTTTGTGTTGCTTTGCCGCAGGTGGGGGCTCTCTGTCCGAGGTACAAACACTGGCGGACGAAGACTCCGGCCTGATCACTTGCTTCTGCCTGAAGCCATTTGCCGGGCGGCCCATGATTGAGTGCTCCGAGTGCCTCACGTGGATCCACCTGTCGTGCGCCAAGATTCGGCGCAACAACATTCCCGATGAGTTCACCTGCCAGCGTTGTCGCGAGGCCAAGCACACAACGAGGCGCTCGCAGCGGATACGCGCCGGTGGCACGACGCCGCCTCAGCGGCGGAGGCCCTCGACGTGACAGTGTTAATGACGAGGACGACCGTGTGTGCGCGTGACGGTGCGGACCTAGGGGTCGTGCCGCGACAGCACTCTAGTCTTCTGCTCGGGCCCTCGTGGTGGCCGCTGTACAGACTTGCGGTGTGCCTCGAGGGCACGTTCCTTGCCTCCCCTCACGGGGGCAGGCCTCTCTGTGTGGGGGAGGAAGGGTCGACCCAGTGTGTGTGGTTGAGATAAAATGAGCTTGGCTGTTTGGCATTTATCGCACTCTACTCTCCTAAACAGGTTGGGGCTACCACCTGCTGCTGTGTTCATTCTGCCTCTCGTTTACTTCCTGCTTCTACCAAGAATGTGCCGATAGTAAGGAAGACGTTGACAAGATAGTTGGGCTTTTGCTTTGTCGCATATTTTTTTCACAATGTGAGAGATGTCAGATCAGGGCTAATAGCTTCACTTTCATTTACACTGTCTCCGGTGTGCGCGATATTGGCTCAGCTTCAGCTGACAGATATTATATGCTTAGGGTCCTTGTGACCAGATTTGTGATTGGTATGCAGGGGCTGTTATACCTATGTGTCCCTCTCTCATGTCATTCTGTCGGTATTGTACAGACTATTTTAGCTGGACATAGCATATCATCTCCCCTACATCACGGTACACTCGAAGCACGGCTTCATGTGACTGCATTATTTGCATGGGCAACACATAGCTGCCTGAACAGCATAGTCACCGTTACTTCAAGTTCTCTCTCCCATGGTCCTCCATGCACTTGCACCACTCTGCAGCCGTCTGCTTTTCATCTTGACGGCCACACTTTCATTGGCACTGTGCGTTTAAAGATTTGCGAGCACTGTAGAGACAACCCACCTAGCACTCCGCTGCTAGCTGGTTGTACACCGGGGAACTTGGCACTGCTTCGTAGTAACCGAGCGCATGCAAGTGCATTTTTTCACCTCTTGCAAATTTCCACACTTCCACGCTGCGGTTTGTCTCTTCTTTCATGTCTGAGTAGTCGTGTGCTGTGTGCTGCGCTCACTTTACAAAGCCCCATAATACCAACCCGAGATAATGGATTTGAATCGGGTTCACAGAACTTGGAGTCAACAAAAGAACTTGGAACTACAAAAGTCATCAGAGAGAACACTACCAGTTCCAATGGAAACAACCAGCAGTGCACAGTATATCCTTCTACTGTTTATGCAGCACTATCTCTTATCACTTTATCTCAACTCCTTGCTCAAAATTTTAAAGCCATTTGAGCTTTTTTAACACGGAACGTAGTGAGACTATGCACATACATGTGCAGCCCCAGTGTGTTGAATTTGCATAGCATTTTGAAAATATAAATTGGCAAATTCCAATTTGTTTGAGGCATGAAAAAAAAACTTTGGTAAATTCATGCAATGCTGATGCTTGCTGTATGTCCTGAATTCAATAGTTTGGTTGAGATTGTTGAATGTACATAGGAGAGATAGGGCTGCAAAGCTTTGCAATGGAACCTGTGAAACTGAAATTCAGAAGGAAGTCCATTGCAGCACGAAATAAAACACTAATAGCATAGTACTAGGCACTACACTTTATTTTTGTGCTGTAATGGCTCATTAAGTATTAACGAAATACCCCAGTTGCAGGTTATCTAATGAGATGCCATCCAGTTAAGAAAGTGACATTTTGACTTTTGGAGCAGGTTCTGTAGCTGGAAAAGTAGTGCTTTGAAGAAGCCTTGATTGTTTTTGGAGCAGGAAAAATGCTAGCCTGCAGCAGCTATACGTAGGTGTTTTCAGAGCAGATAACAAAACATTCCAAATGACTCCTGGAGCTTAATGCATCATTTAAGGCTCTTATATATATTCTCTCTTATTAGACATATTTCTCAAACAATAATCACTGATTTGCTAGAATCGTAAGGCATATGGATGATCTTGGAACACCTAGTAAGTGTTACCATATTTTGAATAAGTAGCCACATTAAAATTTTCAGAAATCAAATGAGCTAAGCAAATTAACACTTACAATGCTTATTCTTGTGACATAAACGAGGTCAAAGCTGATAAAAATGCCAAATATAATCAGTCACACATCAATAAAGTTGTCACAGCAGAGGCTTGTACGACTAAGAAGTTAGCCCACATTTCGCCAAAGCTTTATGCTTATAAAGTAAAAATATACATAGGATATATGTAAAAAATGCGTGTATGTGTAGCATTGTCAATTTTCTAGCATACAGCTATTATACAAGCTGTATACTAGATGAGAGTATACAGCCCGTTTTTGTTTTTATCTGGGCTCTCTGGATGGTCACATGGTTTAACTTCATTGTTTTTAGTTCCCCCAATGCCATTTTGGAGCAGTTGCTAACAAAAACCTGTTTGGAGAAGCATGCAGCAGCATTTCTCCTTTAGAGCAATTGGAGCAACTCTTCCATCACTGTCATGGTGTCTTGGCGAAATTCACACTTTCTGTAGCTGTCAAGCCATCCTTGGTTACGAGTCAATAGTGGTACGACTTTTTGCCATCGAAGGACCCCCTCCAACAAATGGCGTCGTCATAGCCTTTGCGCCACGTCCACGAGAGAAATCTCAAAGCAACGTGTTGAAGCGCGTTGCAAAGCGACCACGATGCCACGCTGACGCAGCAACACCGTTGGCTGGAGGGGGTCCCTTTGAGGACAAAAAGCCGCATTGCTCTTGACTTGCGACCGAGCATGGGTAGCCTGACGACGCTTATTAGTTGAAGTAGAAAGCAGTTTGAAGGCCTGTGTGGCAAGTCTTCCATAATATACTGAGAACCGGTGTAATTTAAAACACTAAAGGTAGGCATGTATATCCTGCAAACTAAAATGTGATATAGATCATGAAAAAGAAAGGTAATGCACACAAACCATATGTAAAATACTGCTCTTCACTAGTAGGCAAATGCATGAATTGTGAATTGCTGTCTATTTTCGTATGTGCCTCATGCGCAGTGTAAACGGAAAATATTATGTAGTCTGGCTGAAACTAACCTAATTTAGTAAACATGGGAATAGTAGCCTCATATAATAAAAGCGAAGTGTGAGGCTTTTGTTCTCAATTTTTTCAATGTTTGCCTTGGGGCATGCATTTTGCGATACGCAAAGTTGGCTTGGTTGTTAACAGGCAGAAATAGATAGGCTGTTCTTAGACGTAGGAAATTGATGTGCCTAGTAAGTAATCGCGATAGGTTCAATTCATGGGCTAGTCAGAATTGTGTCGCGCGCAATATTGGCTTGCAGGTGTAAGTACGTGTCGGCGTGCCAATGCCAGATATTTCAGAATGGCACGAACACTGCTGTGCTCTTCGAAATCCCGGTAAGTTTGTGCATATTACCACAAGTCACCAGTGGCTGAGCATTCGCAGGTAAGAGTGAGGTAATCATAGGTTCAGATCAACGGCCACAGTCCTGGAGACGATGGCATCAATTGCTCATTAGTTTATTCCATAATGCGGCTTGCGTGTCGCAGCCTAAAGGTAGCTCCCTTAATTAAATTAATCTACGTGTATTGTGGAGGTGCTTGCAAGTGAAAACTAACAGTGTCTTATTGTACAGAGCGGTCATAATACTTCAGTTGTTTAATATTCGTACACGGACCTTGCGAGCTAGTTGAGCCAGAATCGCGAAACTATGCAACAAGAGGACCGTCGGGCGCTTTCAAGAAACGCGGCAACAGAGTAATCGGCTATCACGGCACATTACAGATAACTCGTAGTTAGTGGTTATACTTGAGCAGCTTTGATGTCGCAAAACTGTGAAACGAAAAAGTTGAGCGTCTCGGTTAGGGTCGGCGTTCGTTGGTGAACGCACCCTGCTGATCAATCAATGAAAAGTCTCAACGAACAACCCCAGAAACTGCCCAAATAACCAGATTTTAAAGTGCAGCGATCGCGGGTTCGGCACCACCTGCTGCGACTCTATTCAGCTTTCCCCGTCGTCCCTAATACTGAGACGCGATCTCTTAATTGCACAGCGAGAAAACACGCCCCGACTTCTGTAACGCGCGGTTTATTGCATTAATAACGTCGTACACACACTCGCGAACAAGTTCATCGCACTCGCGAAATACACTGCGGACGACGCGTCGTTGATTCCCTAACTTCGAGACACAATCTCTTAACTGCACAGCAGCGCACACAGCAAGAGAACGCGCCCCAACGTCTGCAAGGCACGGTTCATTCGGTTAATAAAAAATGGCCTCCTAATTGCACAGCAGCACACAGAAAGAGAACGCGTCCTAACGTCTGCAAGGCGCGGAAAAAAAACGGCCAGCGGCGCTCATGCACTCGAAAAATGCACCGCGGACGACACGAAAACCTTACGGAGAAGCCATAACTACAGGAGCAATTTTTAGATGCGGAAGCATCTTATACTCGCGCCTTGTAGTGCGCCGTCCGCACCGCTTCTCGAACATTCGACAGCTGACGCGCGCGCATGCGCCGTCGCCCACTCTTCCACCATCTGTGCATCCCTTCCTCCTCTACACACCGCGCGCGCTTCACTCCTCCACCATCTGTGCACCCTTCCTCCTTTACACACCGCGTTCGACATCTACAATTCTCCTGATTCTCCAGTGGACGCGCATGTGGCGTCGCGCTTCGAGAACATTCAACAGCTGACAGTGCATGCGCCGTCGTGCTGTATATATACTCAACGTCTGCGCTCGCTCGCTCAGTTGCCGCTCGTCGGTTGGTTTGTACGGCGCGTCGACGTCCAAGGTCGCGGTGAAATGAATTCCAACGAATCCACAAACACAATGATCGACGTCCCTTCGACCAGCGCCACCCTTTCGCATACGTGTGTACGTGTTCACTCATTTAACACCCCCTCCTACAACCACGTTAACCAATTTAGCCATCGACCCAAGTAAGTCGCAATTTAACACCCCATTTCACAACCACGTTAACCAATTTAGCCATCGACCCAAGTAAGTCGCACTTTAACACCCCGTTAACCAATTATATGGTCCGCATCCTCCTCAGTGTTCCCCCGAGGGAAGCTGCGGGCAATTTTTTTTTGCCAAATTTGGCGGCAGTCTGGCAACAACTTATGCAACGCCACGGAGGAAAAAAAGGTGTGGGCCCCGCCACGGTGGTCTAGTGGCTAAGGTACTCGGCTGCTGAAACGCAGGTCGCGGTATCAAATCCCGGCTGTGGCGGCTGCATTTCCGATGGAGGCGGAAATGTTGTAGGCCCGTGTACTCAGATTTGGGTGCACGTTAAAGAACCCCAAGTGGTCAAAATTTCCGG